TGTTCGTAAAGAGTTGTCCGAAACGTCAACAAACATATCAATGTGTTCCAATAAAATTTCCCCCGGATAATACGATTACAAACCCAATATGAATAAACACCGGCGAGTTACAATTACAAATGTATTGAAATTACAGGTGAAAAATATAATAGAAGAGTAATGACCTATAATACGTTTGAGGAGCAGTGTGGGAGACAGACCTTTGGCTCAAGGCCATATGGAGACCTTCAAAGAGAAAACACATTGACGAATTTCACAGGCGGGGGAATCGGGTTACTACCACATTACACAACCGTCGAGATCGGTTAGTCTTCGCGTTACAAATGTACACTACAGTGATACAAGCCTTCATTTGTTTCCTAAGTTTTTCCTCCTGAACGTACGTCTCAACACACCCTCTCCCTTGAGGGAGACCGCACTGTAAAACCTAAAATTGGAAACTTCCGTGGTAAAATGTACGGTGATTTTGCTATTTGTAAATGATGTTCCTTTTTTGCAAAGATAAAATTTTATGGAACTAAGTAACAGAACAGCAAACCAAAGCTAAGAAAAATGTTATCAAAGTTTACCGTAAAAGGTATTACAAGACGTTTTTATTTCTGTGTTTATTTATCCTGTTTTGATGTATCATATCCAAAGGTCATCGACTTCGGTGGATTCCGTATCAAAGTCCCGTCAGACTTACCTTTTTGGAACCCATAACATGTAAAGTTTGGTGTCTAATCAACCTCATAGTTTCAAAATTGTTCACATATTTTCCTTTACAACGATACTTTGTTTTGTATTGTTCGTGACAGAAAGACTTTTCGATAAATCACATTAGTGGAACCTTTTGAGTGTGCACACAGAATTTCCACCCTGTGATTATCGAAAGTCTTTCTGTCCGACAATAAACAAAGTAAATCGTGTAAGGAAATATTGTTGAACATTTTTGAAACTATTGAGTTGATTTAGACACCAAAACTTTTACTGTATGGTTCCAAAAAGGTAAAGTCTGGAAACGACCCTTGTGATACGATCCCACCCGAGTCGATGACCTTGGAATATGACATCCAACAGGATAAATACAACAGAAATAAAAACGTTTGAATAACCTTACGTAAAACTTGTATACATTTTCTAGCTTTTGTTTGCTGTACCTGGTTAACCCTATGTTCATAAAATTTTTAATTCTTGCAAAAGACATCTAAAATATGAGCAAATCACGGTTACATTTACCAGAAGTTTCCATTTTAGGTTTTACAGTGCGGTCTCCCTCAAAGAAGGGTGTGTGCAGACGTACCGTTCAGAAGAAAAACTTAGGAAACAAATGAAGGCAATTGTATCACTGTAGTGTTACTGTTGTGAGCCGAAGATAACCGATCTCGACGTTGTGTGAATGTGTAGTAACGATTCCCCGCCCTGTTGAAATTCCCGTCAAATGGTGTTTTCTCCCTTTTGAAGTCCTCATATGGCCTAGACCAAAGTCTGCTCCGCACACTTCTCCTCAACGTTTATCAGCATACTCTCTTATATATTAGTTTATCACCTTGTAATTTCATACATTTGTAAATTGTAACTCCCGTGTTTTATGTTCATACTTGGAGTTTTGTAAGTCGTATTATCCGAGGGAAATTTGGAAATTCTAAATTGACACAATGTGATATTGGTTGTTGGACGTTTCGACAACTCTTTAACGAAACAAAACCTAGTCTCTTTGCGTATTTTTTTACATGACCGATTTAAACCCGTCGAGTGTTAAACGTTAAGAAGAGAAAAAGTTACATGACAACAACCTATTTCCGAGTTTCTTTGGGGTTAATCCCGGCCCCATTTTTCTCTGTCTCCGTCGAAAGTATCCGTCAGTGGAAGGAGGGTTGTGAGTCCTCTAGGGAAAATAATTTCATTATTGTTGAGTACGTGGTGTGAAGAATAACTATGGGAAACCCTGACCCTAAAACTCGAAGTCTCTTATTGCGGTAATAACTCTACAATCCCTCCTCCGTTTTCGAGTTTTCCTAGTCCCGGGAGACTACACTTTTTGGTATAACCACAGACTGGCGAGGAGTGGTGGATTTGACTGGTTTTGGTCAAAGGAAGCAGTGACAATTTCGCTCTAAATTTGGATTAATAAACTTCATGTATTATAGGTAGGTTTTAAATAAAAAAGACCTGAGGTTTTTTGTAAATGAGTTATTCCCGGAAAAGAATAACATTGAATTTCTGAGTCAGAGGTGTAGTGAATACGAAAGCCTGTGTCGGGTGTCCTGTGTGTGTCTGGTGTGTGTGTGTGTGTTGGTGTTGGTGGTTGGGCGTGTGTTTGGGTGTGGTGTGGTGTGTGTGTGTGTGGTGGTGTGTGTGTGGGTGTGTGGTGTGTGTGTGGTGGTTGTGTGTTGGGTGTGTGTGTCGTGTTTTGTGGTGTGGTGTGTGTGTGTGTGTGTGTGTGGGTGTGGGTGGTGGTGTGTGGGTGAAAACCTGAGTGCTCGTAGAATCCCGTATTTTCCGTTTTCCTTGTAAACGGTTAATTCACTTTGGACAACGATAACTAAAGAAGATGGTTTCCATTACTTTCTCTTAATTAATTTCGCGGTAATTACCCTATTTACTCTTGATCTCTTGTAAGGGTTCCCTCAATTACTGGGTGGTCCCCCTACTCTCCAGGAAGAGTAAAACAAAGTGACGCGTCAGTACTGTCAGGTTGTTTGAAAAGTCGAGGTCCCCTCTTGACCTGGATATTGAGACCACAACAGGGATTTGCACCCATGCAACATTATTACAAATTTTGGGTTAGTGTCAGTTTCCATCATTCATTCACGAGACTACACTAAATTTTGTTTCTACCTTTTACCTAATTAACAAAATAATGTTACGTATGGGTTCAAAATTATCCTATATTAGAGCGAGAGACTTAAGTTCCAGATAGAAGGTTTCCGTCCACATATGGGTGGGAAGACGGAATTTTCCAGTTGTATAATACGGTTTTAGGGGTGAAAAGTACAAATAAAATATGTAATTTGTGTACACAGGGGTAGACCAGTTTCTCTAAGACCTTCCAAAGTCCCTTTTTTATTGAAAAGTGAAAATAAGAAGGAACAGACTTTTTACACGACTAAGTCTAAAACCGGTGAATTACTACCAGTATTGCTAAAAAACCGAACGAGTCGGTTATTGGTTGGTTCCATTTAGGTGGTTGGAATAGTAGCTTAAGAGGAGGGATCTCGTGGGTAAACACACATAAAAATTTTTTAGCGAGTCTCCCCGTCACCCCTACCCGAGGAATAAAGTAAGATTCCGTCCCCATCGGTTGTGCACGGGCGCCCCCGTAGGTCAAGATATTTATCGGAGTGGTTCGTTAGGCTTTTACATTTTTTAATTTGTTTTGTTTGTCCCTTTTACATTAATTTTAGTTAGATGGATACGTATTTGCTTTGGAAGTTAATATCCGCTTGAGATTAGATGAAGAATGTTAGATTAGATAGGTGGTAGGAGGAGGGGGTTGTAGTTATGTTGGTTAGTGCAAGACGAACTAAAACGCCTGGTAGCACGTCAGCCCCTTCTTTCGTTTACACCCGCCGCAGTGGCGTGTGAAAAGTATTCCATCAAACC